GGAACAAACTGATCATTGCACGTTTGCTGTCAAGGAGTGAGATCGAGCTCCCCAAACTCGGCGACTTTCTCTAAACAGAGGGTAAATAAAAGATAAAGAAAAAAGCAACGCAGATCTACATGTTTTATTATTTTTTTATACAGCGCTCGCAACTGCATAATTAAGGTCATATGAGCGCACGGGACATATTAAACCATTTTCAGTTGGTAGGACATTTTGAATTTTGCTCGTGTGGCGGCCGAAGCCTACTCTTATCGATATTAGACCTTCTAAGGGTCATTAAAGTGCGCATCTTGACACGGGACCTCCGAGATTTTTCGCCCTTGTCCGAGAAGGCTAGGTGTAAATCTTTCCTACCTGAAGTTCATGGGTGTGGCTGAAAGAGAGCAGTATAAAGGAGCCAAGGAGCTGCAGAAAGAGTCCGAAGCCCAGAGGAGGGGGCAAAGGAGGTTAGGGGGTGTGGGCAGAAAGTGGAAACGAAAGCAGACGACATAACATTGCTAGAGAGCAGGAAAGGAGGTGAAAAGAGACAATTTGAGAGAATTTTTTTTTCGGTCGTACCCGGATTCGAACCCGGGACCTTTGATTGAGAGGCGAATACTTCAACCTCTAGGCCACAAGAGTTCCCAACGTACATGTACAAGTGAGAGGTCAATAACTTTAGCCTGCTCCCCACTCTCTTGATGAAATGTTTTGATGGGTGAAAGGTCAGTAAAGGAGATTTCCACCCCGGTGACAGAATGATATCACACGTAGTTATAGTTGGCCTGTTATTAGTCTTTATGTTGCTTGTTCAGGGCTCTGGTTTCATCTAGTCAAGTGAAGAGGTAGTCCTATTACTTTTATAATGTTAACGACGTTGATGAATAGGCTGTAAATCTGCACGGGTCTCAACCGTGAACTGAGCAGGAGACCTTTGTTGTCTTGCTGCACATTTATCTCTCCTTATCCCACTCTTCTCTCCCTAATTCGATACCTTATCCTTTCACCTGTCTGTCTGTCTGTCTGTCTGCCTGTCTGTCTGTCTGTCTGTCTGTCTGTCTGTCTGTCTGTCTGTCTGTCTGTCTGTCTGTCTGTCTTATACAAAATCACATAATGTTGCCCATATTTCATTATTTTGAAGCGTGGCAGCTTTTTTACAAATCCTCCAACAAGTCATTGTAAAATATTATCGAGGTTTCTACCTTTTAGAACGTTGATCAGACATGTGTGGCGCCTAGGCTCTATTTGTCTTCCCAAATTCCCGATCGCCGATCAAATCTTATGGTAAGATGCGCATCATCAGTAATGACAAAACTTTCCGTTTCCCACAAATCGACTATCCAGAAAGTCTGTATACACGGAACAATGTTCAGCTGATAGCAAAGAAGAAGAAGATGATAGTGGCACACTTAACCCACAGAATGTGGACCAAGGTCGGCGGGCGAACTAGGTCGCGGCCGGGGCAGGCCAAGGCGAGAGACACGGGCACTGGAAACTTTGTACTGGATAGTGAATAACGCTGTACTCTAGTAGTGCTGATTGAGCTCTCACGGTGTTATCTATGCCTTAGATCCGCAGTGAATTAATTTGACATAATATACACGCGCGCCGCACACACACGCGC